TCACCATTACGTTACTCAACTCCTGCCTGTTACAAACAAACCGTCTCGCGTATCCCCCTTAGTCCCCCCTCGCCCCAGGAACAGCGAAAGCGACACAGCGAAAGCGACACAGTGACAAGGGCGTCCAGCGGCAAAAGCGGCAGCGGCGGCAAAAACCAGCGGCGGAAGCGGCGCGGCGGCTGCATCAGTGACACAGCAAAAGCAACACAGCGAAAGCGACACAGTGACAAGGGCGTCCAGCGGCAAAAGCGGCAGCGGCGGCAAAAACCAGCGGCGGAAGCGGCGCGGCGGCTGCAAAAGCGACACAGCAAAAGCAACACAGCGAAAGCGACACAGTGACAAGGGCGCCCAGCGGCAAAAGCGGCAGCGGCGGCAAAAACCAGCGGCAGAAGCGGCGCGGCGGCTGCAAAAGCGACACAGCAAAAGCAACACAGCGAAAGCGACACAGTGACAAGGGCGTCCAGCGGCAAAAGCGGCAGCGGCGGCAAAAACCAGCGGCGGAAGCGGCGCGGCGGCTGCAAAAGCGACACAGCAAAAGCAACACAGCGAAAGCGACACAGTGACAAGGGCGTCCAGCGGCAAAAGCGGCAGCGGCGGCAAAAACCAGCGGCGGAAACAGCGCCGCGGCTGCTATAGCAGTCCGCACCGAAAGTTGAGCACGACGGAACGGCGGCGGATGTGAGGCCGGGTGGGGTGCGGAGGTGGCGTGTGGTGATGGGGAGCGAATTCAGCCGATGGCCAAACTTTGCTCCCCATAAATACACAAATCTCAGCGCCGTATTGCACAGCAGCACAAAACATTTGTCATACGTAAACAAATTCAAAAATACCTAATCCCATAAATAGCTAATCCCAAATAATTGCTAATCCCTTAATTACCCTAATCCCTTAATTACCCTAATCCCCTTAATCCCTAAATCCCCTGACTCCTCCTACTCCCCCGAATCTTCCTAATCCCGTTAATCATGCTAATCCCACGAATCTTCCTAATCCCGTTAATCATGCTAATCCCACGAATCCTCCTAATCCCGTTAATCATGCTAATCCCACGAATCCCCTAATCTCACGAAACTCCTAATCCCACCTAATTCCCTAATCCCACCGAATCTCTTAATCCCACCTAATCTCCTAATCCCACGAATCCCCTAATCCCACCGAATCTCCTAATCCCACCGAATCCCCTACTCCTCTAAATCCCCGAATCCCACCGAATCCCCTACTCCTCTAAATCTCCGAATCCCACCGAATCCCTAAAGTACAAAAACCATCCTACTCCTAAATCCCTTACTCTATATTATAAAAGGAAATATCCCCTAATATATACGCCCTACTCCCCTATTGTTCGGAAGTTATGCGCAGGGCTCGATTCTGGCAACATGCCGATGACCATCGTACACGGCGACTTTGAGTATTACAATTGGGCTCACCGAGAGGCCGTTTCTACCGATGAGGGGATGTTTGTCTTCGACTGGGAATGTGCGTGTATATCTCATCCTTTTTGCGACTTGCAGGCGCCGAAGAGAATCTCCGAGAAAGGTGTCCATCAGTACTTGCAAGCGTGGGCGAATTATATCCATCCGAGCAAAGCTCGGCACCTTCTCGAGAAAGCAGCTACCCTTGGTCCTGCTCTGCGCATCAGTACTACAATGAGGACGGTGCGAGCAGCTCCTCCGAATCATTTTGCGTATGAAATGATTCTGTGGACGAGTGTTCGTGCGTTACTTACTAGTAAAGTGTAGGGCTAATTGTTGGGTCTCTTATGTCGAAACGCAAACACGGATTACTGTACTTGTTCCCTTCTCGCAATTCCACTTGCTGCAAGAGGTTCTCAGACATCTTGTAGAAACTAGATAGAACCTTTCAACGACTTGATGCAGTGAACGTCTTCTTCAGTGACCTCCCTCACTCGTCTGCGGCCCCGCAGTCGATATTTCTACTTGCTTCATGCTTATACTATCATTGTTCTAGCGCATGCTCTCAATGAGCTGTTAGCCAAAGAGGACGAGGGTCTGCTTGGAACATTTTCAGCTCTACGTGCAGATCTCGCACAGGGGCACGGAGGCAGCGTTTTTTGGCAACATTTGCGTTGGAAATGTACTTGTACCAAACTATCTGTTTCGCTTTCAGCTTTGCGCTTTCCTCAGTTATCTGTACGTTGCTTCTTTACGCGCCAGCCGCCGCCTCTTTCCTCGGCGTTCGAGTGGGCCGCCCTCTCATCCTGCGCCTCTCGCTACTAACCCTGCGCACCCTGCTCTCGGCTGTTCACCTTCCGGTTGATGCGGGCGTCGTCTCCTGCGTTTGGACCTTTCTCTTTGGTTCAGTCCAGGCGAGCGGCGCCGTTGCCGCCGCCACCGGCTACCTCGAGTTCGGCGGCATCCTGGGCGCCATCGTCTGTTGTTTCTTCGGCGCCCCGGCTGACGCCTCTTTCGTCAAGCTCTACGGCGCATATGCCATCGTCGTCGGCCTGCTCCTCGCCTTGTTGGAGGCTGCTGACATCACATTGGAGGTCATGCGTCTCAGCCGCGCTGCCACCGATCGCATGTTTGTCGCCGAGGCAAAAGGCGAGGGAACTCTCATTCGCAAGTCTGTCTTTGCTGTCGTCGCTTTGTGTGCCCTTATGTCTTTGGGAATTGTATACATTTCAAGCACCATGTACTCGCACAATGCCCCACTAGTCATGGGCGCCGTACTATTAGCCACGTACCTCGTCTGTCTAGTCACGGAGAACGGCCATATTCTAGAAACCGCCGTGCTAGCCTTAGTCGCTCAGCTCACGCTTGCTATTAGTTTAGTCGAGGAGTTTGATGCTTCGACCGAATTCATGGACCCGCTGCTTGCGAGGAAAGACAGCAACTCCCCGAGCGAAACGATTTACGTGTTTGGTGAGACCATCTCTCTGAGATATCCAGAGATGCGTACAATTGTCCTCATGTACACCTCCGCTATGCTACAGTACTTGTAACTTTGGCCTATGCTCCTAGTTTTTTCCGCCTGCTCCAAATTTGGGCGGACAGGCTGGCGAGTGAGAAAAACGCTTGCGCACAGGGGGAGGGAGTTCAGCGTTGCAGGGGGAGGAAAAAAACTGTCGAAATGGCCAGGCCTGCGACAGAAATGCATTAGGTTTCCAACGCAAATGAAGGCGGTTCGCGCAGAACAGTGACAATTGCAGGACGACTCGGTAGTTTTGAAGGTGAGCTAAAATATGCTGTAATGTAACATATTTTTGGTGCAATTGTTTTGGGTGTAATTAATATTTTTATATATGACAACAGTAACACGTGTACACAACAGTAACACGTGTACACAACAGTAACACGTGCACAGTAGTGCATTCGTCATCGCCGCGATTTGTGACGCCATTGAGAATTGGTTTATCTCGAGACATTGTTTCGCTGTCGCTCCCCTCTTCCTTCATGCCCCTCCTTCGTGCCAAGTAGCGGCCTGCCAAGTCTCTGTCATCCGACAACGTCCTTCCCTCTCCCTTTACGGAACGTCGGCGTCGTCACTCGATCCAATGAAGAACACCGTCTCTGCAAGGGGCATCGGTTACCATGTGAGAGATAAGCACTATGTAAAAGGGAAAGTGTCCTGGCCGGCACAGGTGGAACAAGCCGCCTCCAGTGACAAACCGAACACGATAGGCTGTCCGATCACCGTCAGCAGCGAGACGGATAAGTAGAAGTGAGAGTAGAGACGACGAAAAAAAGAGATTCTGTGAGTTTCTTGTTTCAACAGTGGTGCTGTGCCACTGTGCCAGCAGCTGCAACTCTGCTGGAACACGTGTTACACGTTTCCGCAGGAATCTATCCTCGCTGTACCCTCACTGCATCCTCGCTGTTACTGTAATGCATAAGGGGTGCAAGTAACATTCCGTCCATTCTCTTGTTCCGGCTACGTAAACTTTACTCTCTCTCCCACATCTCCGCCCCCCCGCACCCCACGCCGCCTCGCCATCCCCACCAGCACCTGCACCTGCACCTGCACCCTCTCCGCGAGCGCCCTCGTGCGCCGCACCAGCCGCTCGTTCTCGCTCTCCACCCCTCGCATCCACGTTGTCTTCCGCGCCTCCCGCAACTTTCTCCTCTCGCGGCTCCGCCTCGCGCTCGCCCGGTTCTGCGCCGCGCTCGCCCTCCGCACCGCCACGCGCGCCGCTTTCCCCGCCGTCGCCGCCTTATTCACCCACGCCACTGCCCCTTCGCCTTTGCCAGCCTGACCCGCCGCCGCCGGCCCAGCCCGTGCCCCACTATCAGAGCCCTCCCCGCCGCCCTCGCCCACCGCTGCCTCGCACCCGACAATTGAAAGGACATCGCCGTCTCTCAGCAGTCAGGTGCGCTTTTGCCTTTTTGCTCACGACCTGCTCCACTACGGTATGCCCGCTCACGGATGCCACAGACATCGTCGCGCCGAGCACGGATGGGCCTTCGGGCACGTTTGTTGGCCGTCGTCGAGCTCGACTTCAACAACGACTGGCTGATGGACCTGTGCCCGGTGTGCCCCAACTCGTACCTAGTGACGCCACGCGGCCCGCTTGACGTGCCCGGCACAGAAGATGTGCTGCTCATGAATAAGGGGAGGCCGGACGTGTCAGAACAGTATGGGTTGCCACGTGACACGGACAGCACGGGCGTGCGTGCGAAAGATGTGAACACCGAGACGTCAATGCAGGCGTGGTGGCGACGACGTTTAATTCGCTGGATTTTGGCCTCATCAATGTCGCGGGCGGGAAGTTTCGCACGGTTGAGAGCTGGCGGAGGTGCCCCCAAGGTGGAGGCCACGCGAAGGGACAACGTGCGCACGGCGGGCCATGACGTCGACGGGCAGGTGGAGATGATGTTGAGCCAAGGTTGTCGCAAGGGGTTTTCGGGGGACCTCTGGCTGATGAGGAACGAGATAGAGTTGGGCGATAAGTCGCATTACCTGTTCGTAAAAGGGGGCAAAGAGCCGAGGGGATTGTGCACGTCGATCAACGCGCTAGTATCGGTGGGTGTAGGCCTGAACGAATGATGAGACAGGTGGGGGGAGGGGGGGGATTAGTGCTTCCAGACTGCGCGCGAGAGGTGTGCCGTTTTTCACGGTTTTGTACATTTACGGTATCATATGTGCACCAATGCATGAAGGAAGCACAGACAGGGAGCTACGAGCAGAACGATACAGTAAAGTTTACGTGGGCAAGTCGAGGATTGGCTGTCGAGGGGTGGCTATCGTCCGCTGCTCACTCGCCCTTGTCATAAAGTCCTGCACACATTTCATCAAGTTGCGTCGCGGGGGCAACCCCCCGAGATTGTCATTGGACAGGAGGCTTCTTGAAACTCTTTTGCGCAGAACACATTTTTATGACACATTTCTCAAAATCTAGAAATGTGCCACCGTCTCGCTCCTGAAACGTATGTCCACAAATTTGCTCCCCTGACTGACGAGCAGGAGTTGCGCTCCTACTCAATGAGGACGAAGGGCTCTCCGGACGAAACGCAAAGCCGGCCGGGACATGCGTGAGCAGGCATGCCTCCCTCTCACGGTCTGAGTTTACGCCTGATTTACCGAGTGCATACAAAGATACTGTATGTGCCGACGTCACTTGACACTGCCGACCAAATAGTGCCATTTTTGGGGCCTCGCACGGGGCGGCATTAGGTAGGGTCGACTGTACTAGCAATCTTCCAAAAGCTGCTCACGCCCCCCCCCAGCATGTCACACCCTGTAGGCCTGCTCCAGAGTCCACGATGGCTCCACGAGGCTTGTCGCCTCCACTGCCCCTGCAGCCGTGCCATACCCCCCGCCTCCGAATGTTCCTGCCCGCGCGTCTCTTCCCTCACTCATCGCCTCTTCCGATTGTCCTTCCGTTCCCCCCTCCTCTGCAAAACTTCGCTCCTGTTCCTTTGGTCCTGCCTTCCCTGACCGCTGCTCTCTCCCCCGCCGACTGCCCGCGCTGCCCACCGTCGTCCCCCCACTCCGTTAGACAGAGACTCTTCTGCGTCTCTGTCGCCCCGTACATCCTCCGCAAACGCCCATACTCCTTCTCCGCCATGCTTCCCCCAACTTCACCCGCCTCGTGGCAGCCCTGACTCACCACAAACGAGCCCTACTGCGACATACTACCCATGACAGTGAGTCGACCAATGTAGTCCTCGGTCGCGAGTCCCACGTGCTCGGCGCGCCTTCAGGCCTTTATTCGTCTCTCCCATCTGCCTCTGCCCATTCCGTTCCATCCAGCCCTTCCTCGACTCCTCTAACGCTTGCTGTACAGCCTGCTCTAACACTGCATCCACCAGCAAGATCTTCGGCTCCCACACTAAACTATGAGCAATCGCCACACGGTGTCGCACCCGACCGGACAGCTTCGTCCCGGGTTTTCGCTCGCTACTCAATTGTGGGGGTATGCTAGTGTCTAGGTGACAAATGGCCTCATATGAGGTCAATTGACCTCATATGAGGCCAGTTTTTAGGCGGGCTTTTGCAATTCGAATAATTGTAGAAATTTATCGCTACTGTAGTGAAAAGCTTACGATTAGAGTATTAAACGTTGGCAAACCAGAAAACATTCAATTCCGTATCTCAGTCTTCCCTAATCAACACTTTCGTCTTCCTCTTCCCAAAATTTCTTCAAAATGGTGAGCGTCAATGATCCTCGAATTATTGCAGGTAACCGCGTCCACACTCGTGCAAGACTGCTCACAGCTCAGAGTAAATGTCGTCGCATGTATGGAGCGTCCTGGAAGATCAAGTTGGTCACGGGAACTGTCATTAGCATGAAAACTGACAAAGTGAAGGGTCGCAGTGTCACTTCAGTCAGGGCTAAATGGGAATTATCAGATGGCGTCAAGGAAGTCACGCTTCGCATAGCTAACATCAAGGCTGGTGAAGTGATGGACCTGATCGATGACGGTCCTGAAGATCATATCGAGCAAGAAACCGAGCATTATGCGCAACCGGAGCCTACAGAGGACCGCGTGACGCCACTGGAAGGAGCACTCAGCCCGAGTACGAGAATCTCCGAGAGTGACGAAATGGATGTCCAAGATGGCCTCATGAATGTCCACGGCCGGGCCTGGAAGCGTGAGGAAGTCACGATGCATTTAAATGGTATGATACCGCCGAGAAGATGGAAGGTGATTGGACCGATTGATGAGATTATATCCCGTGGTCACAGTCCATCTCAAATGCATCCTATGAACTACTTCATGTGGATGTTCCCACAGGAGCACTTGGCATTAATGGTTTCCTACACCAACGATGCAATGGAATCAAGGGGACTTCGCTTGACTACAAGAGGTGAAATTTTGAAGTTTTTCGGGGTGCTAATCCTTATGACTCGGATTGAATTCAGCACCAGAAGGTCTCTTTGGAGCTCACAGGAAACCAGCAAATATCTCCCGCAACCTCAATTCGGAAACATCATCTCCCGCAGAAGATTCGAGGAGCTTCGTCAGAATGTCACGTTCAGCTTTCCAGCTGACTCAAATGACAGATGGGGTATGATCAGGGACTTCATGGTCGCAATCAATGATCACAGAGCATCACATGTCATTCCATCACAGACCATCTGCGTTGATGAGAGTATGTCACGCTGGTATGGACTTGGAGGAGATTGGATTGAAACCGGTCTTCCTCATTATGTGGCCATGGACCAAAAACCCGAGAATGGCTGTGAGTTGAAGACTGCTGCATGTGGAAAAAGTGGAATCATAATACGAATTGAGAACGTCGTCTCAGCTGAGGAGACTTCTTTAAAGGATTTTGAAAGTGACCACTTACACGGAACCGCAGTGACTTTGAGGTTGTTACAGCCATGGTTTCACACCAATCGTGTTGTCTGCGCGGATTCGTACTTTGCTTCTGTCCACACGGCTGAATCACTTTATGAGAAAGGTCTTAGATTCACAGGTGTAGTGAAGACATCTACCAAGAAATATCCGATGAAATATCTATCTCATCTGGAGATTGCTGAAAAGGGAGAGCACGTCACACTAGTTTCGAAGCCGGTGGCCGGGCCTCATCTCATGGCAGTGATGTGGGTGGACCTAGACCGCAGATACTTTATTAGTTCTGTCGGAACATCCAACGAAGGAACTCCAATCTACCGCGAGAGATGGCGTACACGTCATGGCGTGACAAGAAAAGAGGAATTGTCTATCCGTATTCCCTCAGTCTGTGAGCAGTATTATGAAACTTGCTCTCAGATTGACCGCCACAACAGATCTCGTCAGGATGATCTCGGCTTGGAAAAGAAGTTCGAAGTCAAGGAGTGGTCTATGCGTGTCAACACTTCTTTATTGGCCATTTGCATTGTGGATGCATGGAAACTGTATGCAGGTGCAAAAGGAGATGGTTCTAAGATGTCTCCAAATCAGTTTTATTGTGAGTTTGCTGACCAGTTGATTGATAACAAGTATGATCGTATATCGTTACGTCAGCGAGAATCAGACAGTGCTGTTGAAGATGAAGATGTTGGGTTTGGCAGTGGAATTGGTACTCACCTAACTCCAACCACTCGCAAGCGTAAAAGCGCATCCGGCGAGGAGACTTGTGCTCTTTATCAATCCAGATGCAATATTTGCAAAGGTACAAAAAAGTCAAAGTTTATTTGCTCAGCCTGCAAAGCATATTTTGACAAAGAAGTATACCTTTGTCATCACCAGACTGGGCGTGACTGTTTTAAGAAACACGTCGACGAACGTCACGATCTTACTTACAAAGGTAAGTACTATTAGTGCTTAATGCGTTCTAGGCCTTTTAAAACTGACTAAATGGGTCAGCATTTGAGTAAAATAGAGCAAAAAGAGATAAAAAACTCCTTTTGCCCCCTATGGTTCTATCCTGCGTCTAAAGACTTGCTTGGAAGACCTGCAGCCGTGTCGGAATGCCCCTTTCTGAGATGTCACCGTATTCAATCTCATGTTCGAGTGGGCGCTATAAAGCGTCCTGGGCTGCAGGTCACGAACAAGAACCATCGAGATCCCGGAAGGGATTTTTCGACCACTAAAGTGCTCAGCGAGGAGTTGAACCCCGGCCTCTAAGACTCAGCGATCCTTGCAGACCACTGAGCTGGCTTGTCAGTTACTAACTAGTCGTTTATAGTTGTCTTTATAGTCGTTCAAAGTTCTACTTCGTAAAAATTGTGCTCCTTTTGTTCTATACTTGCGAAAATCTTAAATTTTGTTTAAATTTTACTGTAGAGCATTTGACCTCATATGAGGTCAAGGGTGACCTCATATGAGGCAAATTGCCGGTCGTCTAGACACTAGGGCAACAAGAGGAATGCTAGGGCAACAAGAGGAATGAAAATGTCCACTTTTATAGAGTCCCGCTTGGCCTGTCCGACCACACTGCTCGTGTGTGGATTTCATTCGCAAATTGTTGTTTTCCAGTGGTGCTACAGACCTCAACATTAACGCCCTCCCCGTAAGGTCTCTCTGCCCGGAAGACTCCATCTACAAACTCGCACAAACTCGCACAAACTCGCTTTTAGACGGGATAAATATGCTATTTGCTTGGATGGGTATGAGACCGATAATAGGGTCCGCGTCCTCGGCTGCGCACATGTTTTGCACACAGGATGCATCAACCCTTGGCTGAGATGAAGGCTCACGTGCGTGCCGCTTCAGACCACATGCTGTTGATGTGGGCCATTTCTTAGCCGAGTCTTTGCCTTGCCTGTTTTACCTTTTGGTCAGTGCGCGGCGCCTGTGGAGAAACCTGGTCTCACGCCGATGTAATGCGTCGCTTCACTCACTTCGCTGCCACACTCGCGGTCCATGCCGGACATTTTCCTGCAACTGCACAGATCCTAAAGAAAGACACCAGATATTTACTGTAAATGCGCAACGACCTTCCGGGAGTACTGCACTTTTAGTGCATGCAACACGGGTGTGCACGTACTACTCACTGTAACGGGAACGTCCCAAGACACTTCCAACTGCGTCACTTACGACGCAGCCATTTCAATGGTGTGATAAGCAAAAGCGCGGCGACGAGCCTGTCTCCTACCGCCTCGGATGTTACGCAGTCACAACTGTCAGGATGCCAAACATGCCACTCTTCATGCCAACGGCTACAGTGCCGCGCTCCACGTCCATGTCGAAGGTGGAAACTGGACTTCCAAAGTCTGCCAGAGTGATTTCGGTACCATCTCCCTGTTCGACAAATGCTCTGCCCTCGCGCCTAGCGATGCCGAATGCGTCCAAGGGCTGTACGCGGCCTTCAAATTCATGAGCATTCGTTTCGCAGCTTTGGTCCATGTCAGAGACACCCGGCCACGCTTTCCACTGCAAATCAGAGACACCCGGACGCGCTTTCCATTGCAACACCGTTCCATCAAACGACACGGACCGCACCTTCTGGCTGTCAGCACTCATCGACACACTCGTCACCCAATGCGTGTGCCCGGTCATCGTGTCGCCGATTTGACGTCTCGTCTCAGCGTTCCATACTCGCACCGTCTTGTCATTTGACCCCGACGCAACCCGTTTCCCGTCCCCGCTCATCGACACACTCGTCACCCAACGCGTGTGCCCGGTCATCGTGTCGCCGATTTGACGTCCCGTCTCAGCGTCCCATACTCGCACCGTCGAGTCATCTGACCCCGACGCAACCCGTTTCCCGTCCCCGCTCATCGACACACTCCTCACCCAACTCGTGTGCCCGGTCATCGTGTCGCCGATTTGACGTCCCGTCTCAGCGTTCCATACTCGCACCGTCTTGTCATATGACCCCGACACAACCCGTTTCCCGTCCCCGCTCATCGACACACTCGTCAAACCTGTGTGCCCGGTCATCGTGTCGCCGATTTGACGTCCCGTCTCAGCGTCCCATACTCGCACCGTCTTGTCACGTGACCCCGACGCAACCCGTTTCCCGTCCCCGCTCATCGACACACTCCTCACGCAATCCGTGTGCCCGGTCATCGTGTCGCCGATTTGACGTCCCGTCTCAGCGTCCCATACTCGCACCGTCTCGTCATCTGACCCCGACGCAACCCGTTTCCCGTCCCCGCTCATCGACACACTCCTCACCCAAAGCGTGTGCCCGGTCATCGTGTCGCCGATTTGACGTCCCGTCTCAGCGTCCCATACTCGCACCGTCTTGTCACGTGACCCCGACGCAATCCGTTTCCCGTCACCGCTCATTACGACATCGTATATCTGATCGGAATGGCCTTTGAAGGATTGAACAAGCTCATGTTCTCTGGTGCACCAAGAAATCAAATCCCCATTGCTGAATCCGATAACAGCACGGGTGCTGTCCGCAGAGAGACAAGCGGCTGTTACGAAGGGTACGCCAGGCGTCACGCTATCGGCACTGTCACTACCTGTCACGCGTGATGTGCCGTCATCAGACACGTCAGCGTCAGCGCCGCCATCGGCACGGTCATTCTCAGGGGCCCGGCGAAAGCAAGAGCAGCAGGCAGCCATTCTTTCGCTAAGCATCTTTCCCACAGTCCTGATCCAGGCGCCTCGTTGTGTCGGATGCCGACTTTCTGCTGCTGCTCGACTCGTCCTAGCCGTTGGCCTTTGGCCTTCTGCCGCTGCTTGACTCGTCCGAGCCATTTGTGTCTCGCTTCCCGTTCGGCTCAGAGCCCCTTCGTCCTCTGATCTGAAAGGGCCGCAAACCGTTTTATTAAATGCCCCGTGTTGGGTACTCTTGAATACTTCCACATCTTCGCTCCCCTCATCGGGATCATACCCCAGTCCAACGACCGCGCCGTCCGAATCGAACATCACCTTCTTAACATATGAATCGCGCGTGTGAAAGGTCTCCAGCAACCTCCCCCCAGCTGCAGTTAGACATGAACGTATTGGGAGTATCCACGGTCTGGGCGCAAACTTCTCGATGTCCAACAAGAAGCTCTCCACGCTCTTCACGCCCCGTTTGTGCATTGTCCTGCTGTAAAGCTGAAAGCAGATACCGGCAACGCTCTCATCGCAAAACGATACACTCAGCCGCGCAGCTTGCATCACCAGAACTATTGCAGACAACTGCTCACTTGCAATCGCTTCTGGTTTCTCACTAGCAAGCTTCCTCAACTCCTCCACCGCTTCTACCAGCTGCCACACAGCTTTTCTTAGCAACACCTTCATTATCCACCTGCTACTAAGAAGCAAGCAGCCCAGCTCTTTCATCAGCTCAGCCCCGACAAGTAGTCGACAAATATTCTCGAAAAAATATCCCTCCTCCGCCTCGCTAGCCTCCTTGGGGACCTGATCTTCCACTACTGCTTCGAGCACATCCCTCTCTTTCCGATAGCTGTCAATCAGCTCTCGACACCAGTGCTTGGTCCAGCCGGGGCCTTCCACTTGGCCTGCTTCGAAGACTGCGAAATCATGCGTAAGATCATGAAGACTTACCCCTTGGCTTTCCGTGTTCGCCAGAACTCGAATGTCAACCAATCCTACACTGCTCATCTGCGTCGCATACTTTCTTGCGATGCTAACATCGCCCGTTCCCCATAGATCCCTCAACACTCCCAGAGGGATCACATCCTGTTTCTTCATGACACACAATGCCCGGTGCATATCCGCGAAGCACGGAGATCCTTCGCTGCCACTTGAGTCCAGAAACTGTAAAGACGAGCGCAGCATTGCATGAAGCGACCCATACCCGCCCCTTCCTTTCTGCGCGCCGATTGCCCCGCTCCCTTCACTCTCTTTGATCGTTTTCAGGTACCACGTCCACAACTTTGGTATGTCCCCGGCGCGAGACCCTCGTGATTGGCTAACAGTGACTCCTGCTACATTCAGAGCCAGTGGTAGTCCCGCACATATGTCAAGAATCTCCCCAAACGCCTCTCTCGATATTGGATCTTCTACTTCACCACGCGATGCCCCACTCGCATGAATCAGCATGTCGTACGCACTACGCCCTTCTCTCGCCTCAAACTTAACTTGCTCGCCCAGATCTATGAGCGTCGGATCTCTTGTGGAGTACAAGACCCTGCTCGCAGGCTCACCATTTTGCACCGCCGTCCTGGCAAGGCTGGACAGTTTAAACAGGATCCTCTCGTCATTGTTGTTGCGCGACCATACATCATCGAAGATGAACAGGCATCGACGGCCTGCAAACCAAGCTTGAACCCCTGCTAGCACCTCGTCCAGCTCAGCCAGATTGGACAGCTTGTCCGCTTTTTCATGTCCCCCAGAGATGCGGACAGCATTGCAGAGTCGTTGCTTCAGCTCTGCTTCTCTTGCATCTTGCCCTAGAGTTGAAAAATACACTCCGTCCGGAAAGCGCGCGAAAACCTCCCTATCATGTGCAATTGCTCGTAGGGCGCATGTTTTTCCGACCCCGGCTTGTCCAACTGCCGTTGCCCCTACATGCACGGTTGTTCCGTTGCGCAGAACAGCCGCCTTTAGCCTTCTCTCTACTGTGTCTGGCACAATTTCGCCGCCGGAAGAGTCCAAATCAACGAGCACTGTTGGAGAGTTGGATTCAACCGCGAAGCTGGGCTTGAACACGTCGCCTACCGGTGCATGTGAGCGTATCTCACGAACTACGCGAGATCCTTGTCTGCGCGTCTCTCTCACCCCGTGCAATTCCCTCCGTACCCTATCAATGGAAGCATAGAGCTCTTTGACATGCTTTTGGCGCTCCAATAAGACATCTCGATCTCCGGTGGCTGACGCCAAGGCATGTAATTTACCTTTCGGATTCTCTGTTTCATCCTTGAGTTCCTTGACCAACCCCGAAACAGAGCGCGACACGCCTTGAACCTGTGCTTGCAACTCATTCTTGTGTAGGGGTTCTAGGTCGTGAATGGGGACGTTGGCGACATTCTCCGTCAATTTCTGGAGCTCGAGGTACTGTTTGAGGACTTTTGTGGCCAAGCTTCCGTTATTCTTGTAGGCATCGTGGGTGTCTATGGCTTTTTGCACAAGGCTGACGACCTGCTCTACCGCGCCGACCA